TTACCAGTAACTGCAGTGATCCCTTTTACAGTATGGCTTCATAAGCAGAACAGGGAGCTGGTGAACTGTGGGACTCTCATTTTGCTGCCATAGAAAACCCCGTGTCTTTGGAGCAGCACATAGTACAGGGTGTTTAAAGAGGCAGTTTTACTGGGCGTGTGTATGGGGTGCAAGACAGGGCTGGATTTACTGGGATCCAAGACAGTCCATTGCAAAGGGTCTGTTTGATGTCAATTTACAAAAACTGAATATCTGTCTCTTAAAAATTCAGGATGGTAATCTGCTTGTGGGTTACTTGTGTCTTCATTGTTCAGATACTGCTGTCATGGGAAATCAGCTATACTTGATTCTGGAAAGTTGGAGCTAATCAGGCCTAAGCAGAAAACCACTTACCTTTCAATTGCTGTACAGTTTGCACTGAGAGATTGTGTATTCCATGTAGATGTATTCCATGACCACTGGTGTCAGAGTAGTCATGGAAGTCAGAGGGTTTCATCACCGAGACACTTCAGTGATGAATGACAAACCACGCTAAGTGCTTTATCAGATATTGCACAACATCTCACAGGCTTCCTGTTGACGTCCTGCACACTGGATATTTGATGGGCAGGAATTTGTTTATAGCTGCATTTTTTCCCCCATCCATCTCTAAATGTTGTCTCCTTGCTTTTATCTTCTGTTGGGCTTTGAGATCAGCTGCTCATCACCAGATTTCTTTAAACATCCTTGTTAATGACAGCGTTATTTATATTTATGGTTAGACTCCAGTTCTGGCCCTTTTCTCTGTGTCTTGTTTTGTCTTTTCCCGATATGCTTCCCTTCTGGGCTTGGAAGAGCTTTCCAGTCAGCTCCAGCCAAACTTAATTTCTTTTTCTCTCTCTTGCTTAAGGCTGACTGACCCTCTTGTGCTGTGAGTCTGTACTTGCTACTTGTGCATTTTTAATGAGGAAAATCATGAGGGAATTGTTGTAATCAAACCTAATGCCATGTGTGATACACACCAGAGTTCCTCATAATATTGTCTAAATTGTCTAAAATGGAAGTTTTATTTTAGGGAGGAATCAAAGATTTTTTTTTTTTTCTTTTAGAGGCATTGCAGTGGATTTGTTTTTCCCTTGAAAATCTTGTATCTGTTCTATAAATACAGAGCTGGGTTCCTTATTTCCAATGGGAACCTCATCTTTGGGCCACTAGATTATGGGAGACTTCTGTCTTACACGGTGAGATAGAACAGTTTGCACATGGAGCACAAATCCGTAGTGAAACTGCATTTGATCAGAGATCCAGCTGCATTCAGATGTACTCTCACTTCCCCAGTTCCTCCTCAGCTGGTTTGGAAGCTGGCTCAGGAGCTGGCAGTGCCTGCTGTCGTGTTGGTGTTTTCAAGCAGCATGGTCAGTTTGTAAAGCACATGCCCAGTTCAGCTGGATGAGTTTCCAGTTAATTTTAGCTGTTATTTTATTGCTGGACCAGGAGCAGCCCACTCTGTGCAAAACACTCTGGTTTTCCCCTTAGACTCAGGATGGGGCTCTGATCCACTGATCTCTTGGGGAGTTGGTGTGAGTATTTGTCATTATCCTACCAGGCCTTACCCTGGTGACTGTGTCACATGCTTAGCTGGGACCCTTGGGAACAGCTCTGCTTTGAGTTTATCAGCCTGGTTCTGAAATCCAATCCTGACCCAGCAGAAGGTGTTTTTCTGAACAGCAAAATTCCCATGACTTCTGCTTTCAAAGTACTTTGTTGTTTGGCTGCGTGTTTGTGTTTGGAGATTCCACTGCTCCATGCCAGGCTTCCTGAGCCAGAATCCTGGAAGATTTCGAACATGGCATGAAGCAGTGCTTGCAAGTGCAGCTTGGCTTCCTTCTTTGTATTCCATACAAAGTGTGTGCTTTATGAAGTTGCAGTTTAGTTGGGAGTCAGGATCAACTCCCGAATGTATTGAGTTGTGAGGTGGAAAAATCCCAACTTTGTGGTGTTGTGGTGCCAGTAGCCAAACCCTGAGCAGACAAAGCAGGGATGATCCTAATAACATTTTCTCCAACAGAAAGGTGGCTTTTCTGCTGTTTCCTGCACTAAGTGTTTTGCTGATCCCTTTTTGCTCTTCTCTTTTCTGTAGACAACTGGCAAATTCCCCCACTTCTATGAACATCTCAATGTGAAAGTGGTTTTTAAAAAAAACATTGTGCTTAAAAAGTGGCAGGCGGGACTGGGAGCAGATATAGCCTGGGTGTGAATCAGCCCTTTCACAACCAAGGCTGGCTCTGTGCGTGCCCTCTTGTCTGTCTACCCTCCACCCCCTTTTCTGGGTTAAATACAACCTCTGACTTGGCTAAATAGAGGATTTTTTTGACCAAATGAATTTGAGCACCATATGATCTGCCTCCTCATGTTCCCTGAGCCCTTTGCAGGAGAAGGGAAATGCTTGTGAACAAAGTCTGCTAACAGAGCTGTGGGTGGAAAGAGGACAAAATGAGTACGTGAAGAACCACATATTTTCACTGGACTTCCAAAACAAGTGGCAGTTTGTCCTCCAGATAAAGGCACGTTTGAGAGGAAAGACCTGAACAGTGAAAGTAGAGGGGATTTTGGTGGGTTTTTTTCTTGGTGTCACAAAAAATTCCTGTCCAAACTAAGAAGCACTGAGGTTTGTAAGCATGAACTCTTTAAATATGAAAACGTGACAGGCTGAAGTTCAGGTGAGTCCTTGTGGCACCCAACAGAAGATCCTTTTCTCAGAACATGGAGGTGAGGCTTTAGTGAAGGGGAACATGCTCTGGCATCTGAGGTTTTGCAGTTTCCTTCAGTAGAGATAATCTTGCTCTCATGGAGGAAGCCCAGCATATGTGAAAACAACCTGAATTATGCCTGGGTGAAACCTTTGGCTGATCCATGTCCAGACACACTAAACATGAGTGTGTTTCTCTGCTCAGATGGGGTAAAGGAAGGCTGAAGAGTATTCTTGCATAAAATTTTGGGGAGGGGGATGTTATATAACTTCATTTCTGTATTTTTTTTTCATTTTCCTTTGGTTTTTTACCCATTTTTGTTAATTTCTGCTGTGTTAAGATTGTATCCTCTTCAAATATCCTGAACCAAGCAAAGGGAGGAAAAAGCTCTAGGTGCCATTCAGGGCAGCCAGGGAGTTGATCTAACCACTTGCTGCTGACAGAAGGGATTTACTCCCCCATTCACAAATGTTTCTCACTCCTTCCTACCTTCATTTTCCTCTTTGTTGACTCCAAAACCTCATCTGTTCACAGGTTATGCTCATTACCAAACCGATGTCTCCCTCAGTTTATTTTTCAATGGATTAAGTGTCTTGGTGTGCAGAGTGAGGGCTGGTGCTGGAGGGCTGTAGGAGATGGATAATGGGAATAGTGACTCTCCTGGCTCCGGGAAGCTGTTAGATGAGCTCAGCACACATTGCTTTACACAAACTAAGGTACACTGTGCACCCAGGGAATTGTTTCCTGTGCAGTTTGAATTGTGCAAAATGAGCCTTTCCACATGGTGTTTGTGTTCAAACGTTGCAGCCTTTTTGCTTTTGTCAGAGAATCCAGAAGGAAAATGCTTTCCTAAGTGAAAATGATCTGCACAGTTGTTTTGGCCTAGAAATTCAAATAGGATAGTTAATAAAATAAATGTTAAAGGGGGAAGGGGGTTTTGTCTACCTGAACCTGAAGGATGAGAAGAAAATCGAACCAAAATCCTCCATTGTATTTTTCCACTTTCTTCAAGCATTTACAGGGTATAACATGTAATTCCCCCATTGACTAAACTCATAAGAACAAGTTTCTGTTCTTCAGATACAAAAAAACTTAACGTTTTTTTGATTGTGGATTAGAAAGAATGAACTTTTTTTAACTTGTCTAGAGCTGAACTCAGCTCTTCTAAACTAGCTGAGTTCGTACTGCGATGTTCTTTCCCTGTAAGCTGAGTTAGTACCGGGATGTTCTTTCCCTGTCAGCTCTCTGTTGAAAGACAAGCTAAGCTGGAATTTGTGCTGGGCAGTTTTGCCTGCTTTTCTCATTCTTTAAGAACTTCTCAGTACAGCTGACATTGCTTTGTGCCCATAGCTGTAAAAATCCTACTAGTCCCTGTTCAGTCATTAAACCACAGAAACCCGAGTTTGAAGGGGCTAAATAGCAAAGGCTTTGGAAAAGAGGCTTAGACATCCCACACTGGAGCAATAAAAAGTTCTGAGAAGACTGTCTTTAGTCCAGACGCAAATACACTGGGCACTGTACTCTTTGTATCATGGAAACAGGGCCTTGCACAAGAGGCATGCAAAGAGTCGTTGGTTCTGCTTATTCCTGGGTGCAATTCAAAGAGGTGGTTTGCTCTGTGGAGTGTGGTTTGTCATGGAAGATGATGTCATTCACACCGTGCTTGGGAGAGAGACTAAACATGATGCTTCTAGGGAAGGATCTAAGCCAGTCCAGTTTTGTACACAGTGAAGAAGTGACTAATTGTCAGAATTCAGCCTCGTTTGTTCTCTATTTAATGATTTCCACTTTTTTTCCTGTTGGGGTGGTGTCAGCCCTTTAACAGGTTAGATTTTTCCTGCCCTTTCTCTGCCTAGGGTTTGTAGGAGCTGAGAGTTTAATTTTATCAAGCTTGTTGCCTTCGGCTTGTGAGTCCTGGCAGCCCCCTGCTTTTTCCATTTCCCCGCTCCAGCTTCTCCAGTGCTCAGCACTAAACCAGCTGTAGCATCAGGATCTGCTTAAAAACCTTCCAAGAGCCCTGGGTATGTACATATTGCATTTTGGCTTGTTCCAGTAACTTCTCAGTTACTTGTGATCAGTGGGGTTCTGGAGCCCACCTTGAGGATCCGCACCCAGGTGTGCATCGTTGCCTCTGGTTTCCTGCAGCAAAGGCTTCAGCTGCTGACTTTGATCCTGAATTCCTTGGACTTGTATATTAAATGATTATAAACTGCACTTAACTGTGAATCAGCTCACCTGGTTTAAACTGAGGTGTTTAACTCTCTTCTCTAGGCTCTGTTTTGGATATTATCAAGCACATCGTGGCCAAAGGAGAACACAAGACTGGTGTCCTGGATGAACCCTGTATAGCCACAATCCTTAAGGAGGTGCTGGAGGGGCTGGACTACCTTCATAAAAACGGGCAAATCCACAGGTATTTTACATTTTTCTCACCCTTGTCATAAAATGTTCCTGAAACAGAGTGGCTGAGCACACAGAGTCTTATCCCACAACTCACCATGTGAGCCTGAAGAGAGGAAAGTAAAAGTGGGAGCTTAATCAAAGTGCAGAATTCGAAATTCTATAGTCTATATACTACATCTCTGTGCTATGACTAGGCCAAATTTGGGTAAACTTTGGGCTACTGAAAATTCTGACACAGAAATTCTCATTCCAAATGTCAACAGCCAGCTGCAAAGTGTGGTTGTTGGAGCTGGGAAACTTCAACTGGTTTTGTTTTCTTGCTGAGCTGCAGATCACCAAGGGCACTGCATAAGCAGTGCTGAGCAGTTTAATAAGGAGCCCTTCAAGCCCTGATTTTTTTTTTTTTAAGGTTAACTGCAAGATCAACATAATGAAATTTGATTTTGAGTGATTTCATTGAAAAAAGAAAATGGGAAAAAAAAATTCAAGAAAAAAACTTCTGTAGGCAAAGCCCAGTTAACTAATGGCCTGTGATTTGACGGATCACTGAAATGTGAGGGTTTCTCTGCTGCTCCCTTGTTTGGGAGATACTTTTAAATCATATTTTCCTCTTCCCCAGTGTCAAGGTGTGGTGTAGTTCAGGAAGAGAAGATGCTAAGTCAGTCTGTTCTGCGTTAAAAAGACTGAGATTTTCAATACCAAATATGTGCTGAAAATAGAATATACTGCTTGTGGGTAATATTCACCATCCCAGCCACAGGCTGCTGCTGGAACAGCCGCTTCTTTCTTGGGAATTTTGTGAGCTTGGCTGTCTTCTGGTACAATGCCATTACAAGCATTGCTGCTGCTGTGCTGGAGTAAGTTTCTGTCCTCTTATAGCTGCACGAGAAGTTACTTTTTGCCAAAATTCTGTTTATTTAGAAAACCCAGTAAGTATTTATCTGATATTTATAATCAAACTGACTGGCTTTTGTAGGTTATTTTGGTTTGAAAAAGGAAAAAAATGCAACTCATTGAGGTGGAGTTTTTCCCCCCCCGAAAGAAGTGTCAAATTTCATTTTCCAGTCTCCATTAAAACCCTTCAACAAGAACCATTGTCTTGACTGAAGACAGTTTTGATTTCATAGCTGGTTGCTTTACTTTTGGTTTTTAGAGGTAATACTTCAGGCAGCTCTGGGAATTCAGAGAAAAGTGATAAACCAACTTACTTGCCAAGTACTTGGTAACTTTTCACTGTACCATAAGTAATCGATAGAACCGTGTCCATCTGTGACTCGCACTTGGTTTGCTTGGCTGGTTTAGTTCATCTTCTGGTCTAGTGAAATTGAAATATATCTGTTAAAGCAGCAGTAACCTGTTAAATTTCAGTTTTTCTGAAGGTATCACATAACGTTTTCTGTACTGAAAAGAGTAGTGGTTCTCCATTTGGCTGGCTGGATTGGAAAAGCAAAACCAGTAAATGTGGTAAAGATTAGAGGGAATATATTCATGTGTGTGGTGTGGGGTTGTTTTTTTTTTACCGCTCTCAGCAAAAATACCACGTTCACAAAGTTCAAACTGCTTGGCCTGAAGAAAATGTGATTCACATTGAATCATTTGGAAGTGAACTGGACCAAACCTGCTGTGACCACTCTCATCTTGCCGGTTGAAGCATCTTGCCCATATTTAGGGAACTTCAGCAGAGAAATCAAAGCTGTGTCACTGATGCAGCTCAAGGTTGTGGTTGTGCATCAGCTGCTTTGCATGTGTTGCATCTCTGTGTTTTGGGGCTGCTCCAGCAATTGTGTAGTATTTTATCAGGGAAAAGCATTTGGATTACCTCACTGTGTCGGGCACAGTGGTCTGGAGAATTTGGAGAAGCGGGATACAGAAGGAAAGTTGTGAGGTTTCCTGTCTGGGTTTTAAGTGCTGACTGAAAGTGAGCTGACATGCCTTTGAGGGATGAAACATGTTTCCTTAATGGAGTTCGTCCTGCTGTGTTCCGTTCTATCCAGATGTGTGTGAGCTGCTGAGGAAAACACAGCTTCAAGATGTAGCACAGATGGGACCTTTCCTCATCCATAGGAATATCTGTATGGTTTTCCCATTTTGCTTAATGCTAGGTGTCATAATATTGGTCATGCCTGATGGGAAAGGCAGGTGGAAATCTTACAGCCATGCCAGAGATGCTCCGAGAGGAAGTGTTTAAAATAACGAAACCTCAGTCCCCTGGGTCAGCTTAAAGTATCTGGCTCCAAAGGAAACCACATCAGGTGATGGCTGAACTGCTGTATCGTGTCTGCAATGTGGGGCAGCTGTGCTTGGGGTGAACTTGAGGCCAGGGCAAGATCAGCTGTGAAGGATCAAAACTGAAGGGCTTTGGCCAGACCTGGAAGATCCAACTCGAAGCAAGCAGCAGTCCAGCAGAGCAAAATGTTCAGCTGGTTGCACTAAACATCCCATCTCTGTTCATGTTACACCTGGGAGAAAACAACTTGATAAAATTAGAGACGTTAGTGTGAGTGAGTGACTGTAATTAGCACATCCAGAGATGGACAGCCAGGGTGGTGGCAAAGCCCAAAGGATGAATAGCGGGACCCAAACGGGATTTTGTGGGCGCTGCTGACCTGAAGTGGGGCCATAAATCACTGGTGAGATCAGAGAACATATGTCTGACAGCAGAGCTGTTTGATACTTCTGAATTATTCATCGTCTTAAACGGGTAAATGAAGTTAACACGTGAAGAACTGGCTTAATGGAACTCTGCTGCTGAATCTTACTCTGCATAAGCCCGCCTTGAACTTAGTGCCACTTCCAATTAAGGTTTGGGGAACTGGGTTGGCGTGGAAGTGTAAATCCCTGCTTTGGACAGGAGAGGAGTTTGACTGTATTCTCTAGAGGAGATTAGAAAGCCAAATATCTAGTGAAGGCTTAAATTATAATTCTTTTTTTGTTTACTTTCCTAATTAACAGCCAGAGCAAGCCCGAGACTTGAATAGGCACCATTGTTCAGCAACAAATGCTGAAGTCTCCCACATTTGCCCGAAGTGATGATTTTTTTGCTTTCATCTTCCAAGGGCTGTTGGGAAGTGTCTTGAGGCCTTGTGGGAAAGACAGAGGAGAAGGCAAAATCAGTTTTATTTTCATGAAACAGTCTGTACCAAGGTAACGATTACGAATGGTGCCCATCTTCCTGCAGAATCACCGCTGCCTCCATATCACAGAGTTAGCACTCCCTGCCTTCCCTGCCTCGTGCCCATCCCTGGCCATCTCTCCTGTGCCAGCTGCTGCTGCTGTCCCCGTTGTGGCTTCCTGCGTAGCACCGTGATCCCAATGAGGATCTGAAATCCCAGTGATCCGGCTCATGTTGAGTGAGTTAAGTACCTGGGCAGCAGCCAGTGTGCTGGGGACGGAGGAAGCCTGTGGATGAAGCTGTCCTGCAGGAATCTGCTCAGGCACAGTTTTTTTTTATGGAAGTCGAGCAAGACTGACGTGCTGTGAGGGGTCGATGCCGGGCTAATCTTGTCTGGGTGACACTCAGGGTATGTTGTACCTCTTCCCCATTTGGACTCTGATTCCTCTGCGTATTTGGGGATTAGCAGGAGTTTGATGAATGACTTAGAAATAAAACTAAAGGAAAACCAACCCAAGAGGTTTTATTGCTTAAAAAGATTTATTGGAGGGAAGTTCAAGGCTTTTTCAGGTGGTGCTCCGTATGGCAGGCTGACAAATGAATCATGCTGATTAACTGTTACAAGGTCTCTCTGTCTTTCTCCCTATTTTTATCTCAGAGCTTATCTTCTGTTCATGATTAGCTGTTGTGTAACTGAATATTTTAGTTAGTCCAGGTGAAATGATACGCTGCTCAAATATAACCAGATTCTCCTATTGCAGCACAATAAATGTGATACTTGCCTGCTTTTTTTGTAAAAACAAAAAAGCCTGGGAAGTGGTTTCAGGTTGCATGCACTCGAAATATTGGCATGGCAGCAGTCCAGCTCTTAGTTTGTTCGCTGCTTCTTACAGGGTGAGAGGTGCAGAAGAACATTTGATATGCTGAGTTAGATCAACCTGTGCTGCCATACAGAATGTTTTGGGGGTTTTTTGGTGGCTTTTGAAAATCAAGAGTGTGGGAAGCAGGGTTCTAAGGCAGCTGTTTCAATGTTCCTTTGAAGAAGAACCTGGAAACAATATTCTTGCTGTGTTTTTGTGCCATCTATATTCACTTATTGTTTGGACCTTAGGATGGTTTTGACAGAGGATCAAAGTTTGATTGTTTGCCTCTTTACCTAAATTAAGAGTAAATAACTTCTGAAAAAAGGACATGAGCACATCCCCAAGACTTGTGTGGGGGCTTTTGCAAGAGTGCTGCTCCAGGAGCGAGTTTTGTATTTAAGATGAAGGAGCTGATGGATGTATTTCGGCAGAACTTGGCTGTCCTACAGGATTCAAGCTTAATTTTCGTGTAGCTGATTAATGCATTGATAGCTGTGCTGGCAGGTCTTGTGGTTAAACTGGATTCCAATATGCCTCTGATTATTTTGATGACTGAGATACTGTACTTTTTTGTTTCTGTAGCAATACTGTGGGAGAACTTCAAACCCTTCTCTCCACACTGCTGTAATCTTGCTTGGGGGAGTGCATTTTGGAAGTGAAGTTTGGTAGGGGAGGAATGGATAACAGGTGGAGCCTTTCCACCTCTAATTGCCAGTTTGATTTTAAGTCAGGACATTGGTAATTTGAAAGTTGTTCAGCTGTGGGAAGTGGAATTTTCTTATTCCTAGAGGTGTACTTTGGTCTCTTCTCTTACAGTATGGGAGGGGTAGAAATAACCTCTAGAGCTGGTAGTTAATATAAATTTTGGAGCTTTGATTTGTAAACAGTTCGGTAGTTCATAGAAATATTACTCCTGGGTGTCTCAGTGGGAAGGAGGACAAGATGCTGCTCTGGGTTGTACTGGGTGATTTGTTCCCCCAACAAACACCTTGCTGTGCTGTGTCAAGGGCACAAGGACCACCAGATCCTACTCTC